AACAAGGTTATGTTTAATTTGATTAGTTCGGGGAAAAATCAAAACCACAGCAGTTTGGATGAAATGGAAACCTACATGTTTCGGTGCACAACTGAAACCTGAGCCGAAGGGTAGAAGGAAGACAGGGAGATTTTTGACAGGTTATTCTGTAACTTCCCAGTTTGGGGTTTCTTCTTGGAAGTGAGATGCCAGAGAACAGGAAAAGTTGCTCTGATCCGGTTGAGGAATTATCTACAACTTGCAGAGTTAAACTCCTTGGTTTCAAGAGGTAGAAATCTCTTCTTTGCTCCTTCTCTAACCTCCTGATTAAAACCCATGGACGTCTGCTAATGCTTTTGCTTATCACAGCTTTCCCCCATCAGCAGATCTCTGACGTGCACTTCAACTTGAACTTGACCACAAGTCGACAGGGGCCTTGATAGATAGACAGATAGATTTTTGCGTGTCTTTTCAAGCCGGTTCCCTTCAACAGGTGTTTGCTGTGTCTGAGGTTGCTCTGTTTATATAATCCTTGTTCCATTTGGAAGGATGAAAAATATCACTCCATTTTATTGTAAACAGACTCGGGTTCTCTTAAACACTAAAAGGAAAGGTTACCAGATTAGTCATGGGCTTCTCCCCCCCCCCACCACCACCATCACCTTGCTTTGCTCCCCTTTGGAAAGAGCCAGCGAGCCTCCCCTTGCTCTGATGTGGGGTCTATGGGGTGGCTGCTGCAGAGGGTTTGAAGCTTCCCCATGCTATATCCCTGCGTGCTGTGCAGAGCTCTGGACCAGGGGTGGTTTGCTATGTGTGGGGTCTTTGCGTGCTGCCTGAGTGCTGGCTATCAGTTTTCAAATACAAGCTTGGATGAGCGTCCAGGTTTTATCATCCATTTGCTGCCAACATTTCTCATTTTGATTTCTTTTTTGCCTCTTTTTCCCCCTTTTTTTTCCCTTTTCTTGACAAGTATTCGTGAGTGAAAGCTCCATCACAGAAAGATAATCTTTTATAATGACAGAACCAGAGCCAGGGATCTGTGTCAAAGGGCTGAGATACTGCCTTGCTGAGAAACCAGAGCCTGAGCTTGGTCCGTGCAAAAGGTGCATTTGGACAAAAGCTCGGAATGATGGAGCCTGCTGAGATAAATATGGGATGGAGCAAAAACAGGCTGATAGCCAGAACTGGGTGGTTTTATTGGTGTCCTAATAACATACACGTTGCTCCCCATGTCACTCTATGAGAGGTTAGCACATACCCCAACACCAGGGCAGCCAGTCCCAGGGCTCAGGTTTCCCCTGGGCCCTGCAGAAAGCCCCAGTGATGTGTATAAATGAGGTCTGTGCAAAGCCTGTGCTTGAGTCCTCGAACTCCAAAGGGGCATGAGCATCTTGACAGGGCCTCCTAACATAAGGCATGTGTGCATGAGCCATGGTATGAATCACTGGGGCCTGTAACGGAGCTTTATTTAGGATGCAGAGTCAGAGAAAATTCCACCCTTGCCCTGGGAGTAGGGGAAAGCAGGTGTTTTTTTCCATAAACTGTCCTTAGCCCTAAAGTTAACGGCCATAAATTAAACAGGGGAGGGGAGCAGCAGATGTTACTCAGGGAACCCACGTTCATGCAGCTGAAGGTGAAAATTAAATATAGGTGGTTCATTGGGGTCTTTTTCTCTTTTTAAATCAAAATCCAAAGACACATCCATACCTTTTCCCTTTCTGGCTGACAGGTCACACAGTTTATTTTCCTGAATCACAATTCCCTTTCAGCCAATCCCTCTTCCCTATGAATCCCCAATGCACTGAGAGCCTGGCACTCAGAATCATTCACGTTTGCCTTCCCCATGTCCCCTGTAGGGAAGGGCTGATGGTGGCAAAGCCAACTGGCGCTGCCTGTCCCTGCACTCTGCATGGCTCAGTCCCAATGGGACATTTCCATCCCAGCCATCCCTTCTTGCCCTGGACACAGGCTACGGCAGCCACCCCAGCCAGTCCTCATTAGCACCTCACATCCTCCTTCCCTATGACCAGTTTACCTAACAGCCTGTATAAACGCAGGAAATGTGCTTATTTTCCAAAAAACAATGAAAAATTGATGTGTGGCTGCTCTGCAAGAGGCGCTCCACCCGGCAAGCCCCAGGAAGCAGCATCTGAGGGCAGGATGAAGAGGGATTGCTGATCAGACAGCATCTAAGTGCTGTCTGGGTGGATGGAGGGGTTTGGGGCAGGTTTGTGGGGTTTAAGGACAGTTTGCTTTCAGGATGCCTGTTGCTTTGCACATCCACCATACAAATAAATGGGGAAACTGAGGCACGATGGACGCACATCACAGGAAGGGCAAAATACCTCCGTATCCCAGTGTTCCCCAAGCCCAGCCCTTGCTGGATCAAACCACAGCTCTTTGCTAAGCCAGCCAAGCCTCGAAGCCATGCATGCGAAAAGCAGGCTCCCAGACGCGGGGGTGATGGGCTCGGTGTGTCCTCCTCTCAGGCTGCCCTCTGCCCACTCACATATGTCTCACTGAGCACGAAGCTGGTTTACATTTCTCCAGCCAAGATGATTTTGCGTCCTGCAAGAGGAGAGGGGGATGCTGCTAACCGCAGGGACAGCTCACGCAGCACCATTTGGACCAAGGTTCATGCCCTGTGGCTGCTTTGCCTTGGAAAAAGCTGTCCAAAGGATGTTACTTCAAGCTGAGCGTTTAGGAGCACACAAAAACCACCCCAAGCTTTGCAATTCTCTGTGAATTGCTTCACATTGTTCCTCTGCAAGTCAGGCCAGGGTATAGAGCTAGAGAGGGGGCATCTTCACCTATTCCTTTGGATCTTAATTCTGGGTGCTTTTACTGCTGCTTTCCCATGCGCTGCAACTCCCAGCTCCTCCAAAGCAGGCAGGAGGAAAGGAGAGGAGGAAAAAGAAGAAAAAAAAAAGAGGAAAAAAAAAAAAAAAACAAAGCCCTGGGGCTAAATTGAAGCCATTAGTAGCCTCGAACTGATGACAGCGCAATAAATTACTAATTAACCTTCAGGGCGAGTTCAACACCTTGGGGATAAGTGTGAAAACACGGAGTAATAAGCCCTGACAAAGCCAGGCAGCAGCAGGTCCCGCCGGGCCGGGTATGCAGCACTGCCTTCGCCTTAGGGAGGGATTCTGCACTGCGTAGGGTGAGCAGAACAGCGAAGTGGGGGCACCAGGGCTGGGACCTGACTGAGACCTGGAGGAAAAGACCCCCGACTGCATTTCTGACTCGTGTTTTGCAAAACTGAGTCTTATTCAGATGTTTGGTTTAGAGCAGCCGCGCTTAAAAAAGCAGAATATGCCACCCGCCTATGGGAAATGTCTTCAATTACAGAGAACAAGGGTTGGCTCTGGGGGGTTTGGTTGCTGTTGTAATTGCACCGACCCATCAGTGCCTCGGAGTGGCTTTTGCAGGGCAGGAGATTGCCTTGAGCCGCTTGGCCAGCCGGGGAAGCCAAGATCAGGCCTGGGGGGGCTCTGCCTGGGGGTACTGGGGATGGGACACCCAATGCTGAGCCCCCCTTGGCTGAGCCCTGCCCTAGGGGTGATTTGCCCTTTGCAGAGGTTTTGGCACAGAAATACTTACTGTGATTAATGCGGTGCAATGCCGACCTGATTAGGTCAATCCACCTCATTAGGAGAGATGATCATATATTGCAAAGGAGTTTTTTATGTATATAAATGTATATATAACACTGTGTTGCAAGAAGCAAGAAGATCTTAATTACCTCAACCTGAGCCCAGAATCTGCAGGTTTTCTGTGGTTGTTGTTTGGATTTTATTCTCCAGCAAAGGGGGGGAAATGCAATCCTGACCACCCATGGAGTGTGCAGAGCTCTTGGAAATGTGAACATGTTGGGGATGGGGAGCTGTGATTGCTGGGGTTTGGGATGGGGCTGTGGTAGGGGATGATCCCACCACATCCTGGGTGAAAATAACATGTGCTTGAGGCAGGAAAGGGAAGCAGAGCTCTTCCTACATCAGAAAAAAAACCCTTACAAGCTTTCTGCTCCAGCTTGCCCTAAGGAAGTGCCTAAAGCCACCCCAATCGGTACAACCAAGGGCTCTGAGACTCCCCTTCTCTCTTTAATTTCCCTCATGGTGCTGGGGCAAGTATTTGCAAGGTTCATTCCTTGGCATCTCGCTGCTGATCAAGCAGGGGACTTTGCCAACAGTATTGCATCAAGGTCTTTTCAGTTGTAATGTTGTATGACATTTCTGAGACCAGATATGGCTCAACTAATCATATTTTAATAGCCCTACCTTTTAGGAATGGACTGGCTCAGAGTGTACACAGTAATATTCTAATTTCTGAGCTCTGATGAGCATAATTTTGAGCAGGTATTCAGTTTCTGTATGTTATAAATCGTGCTCCCAGATGTTCAATGCCAACGGGCTATAAAGAGCAACTGCACAAATATAATATTTAATACCGAATGTCAGTTTGGGTGTTCCACTCAATTTCCTGGAAAGATCTTTAAACTCGTCTTATTTAGCTTGAATACCCAATCAGTTCCATACTCCAGCCCCAGCTATGTAATGCCGCATAACTAAGTTCTCTAATTTCTGAGATGCAAATGTAGAGCAGATGTAAAAGGGGAGTGGAGGGAAGGGGGGATGTTCCTGTGCGTTCAGCAGTGTTGGTTATCAGTGCTGGTTGAATCAGAGAGGGAAAAGTCTGTGTGCCTGCAGTCCCCAGATGCTTTGGACCCTAACCAAGTGCTGTTGGAGAGGACATGGGTCAATCAGATGGCCCTAGCCCCGAGAAATCAACCTGATGGGGCAGGCAGTTCATAATGGGAATAAAAGATGGACCTGTCCTGCTAGCAAAGCAGTCCCGTTAAACAAGCCTGACCTATTCGACAGGTTGAAAGGAGCACTGAGGGCTGAGGATAAAGGTGAGCATATGGCTTTCTTTGCAGCAGGATGGGGCAGGGAAGGAGCTGTGATCTTCTGGGATCTTTCTGAGGTAGACAGAAACTCACTTCTTGTGTTTGTCCTGTTGTCCCACACAATGTTCCTCAGTCTGTGGCCATCAGTTATCACCTATGAGTAACCTCTCTGATCACCTGAAACATCTGCAGTCACCACCCATACGGGTTCTAGCACTACTCTGGTGTTACTCGTATGATGGGAATCAGTAACAGCACAAGACAGACCTTTTTCTACCATGGAGCCCTGGGTCTGGCTAATCCACATCTGTCCACTCCACAGACACCACAGCTCTGGTCCAGGGGGCTCATGCATCAAACCCAATACAACTCCACACCAAGCCAGTCAACACAGGTCAAAATCTGTGCTGGGGGTGTCCCAAGGGAAAAGGAGCAGACAGTCTAAGGGCTCACTGGTCTGGCAGAGGCCAAATCGGGGGCATAACCCCTGCTTTTGCTCCCAGGGCTCAAAGCTTAGCAGCTGCCACCCGCAGCACTATCCATCACCATGGGCTCTTTGAGAGCAGTAAAGTTATTTGACCTCTTATTCTGCTTTAAAAAGAAATACAATAAAAATGTGATTCTGGCTGCAGCTTCTAAAACAGAACTGACCAGATACCATATATAGTATCAACTAAGGACAGCCACAGACTTCCCTCCATCTTTTTAAGCCATCCCCCTTCCTACAGCCCTGTCCAAGTTGCATTAATCATGGACTTCTTTGGAGTAAATGGGATTAATCTGCCCTCTTGCCATTTCTCTGATGTTTTGCAGCAAATCTTGGATGCATGCAGGATTCTGTGCATCTCACAGGCTCAAGGGTGATACGATTGAAAGGAAATGGTAGCTATTTCTATCAGTATCAAACCCTCGCAGTGTTTCCTGCTCTTCTAAGCAGATCAGTCCCAGGTGGTCAGAGCACCATGCAAACTCAGGTCAAAGACGTTCATTTTCCCTATGCCTGATTGCCAGAAATAAAAAGCTTTTACTGAGTGACCCATCCTACTTCTTTGGTTTAAAGATCTCAGCAGCTTCAAAGGCTGCTTCTGTATCCTGGGTTTTGGGCATTTGATCTGGAAAAGCTCAGAAAGAGCTTCGGAAATTGAGCCTGGTGAATGCTTTTAGCTACCTGTCACTGTCTTTGACTCTTTGGGAGTTTCTTCCTTTTCTTGTTCCCAAACGTATTTGCCAAAGGAGCCACTGGAGATGTGCTCAGTGTTACAGCAGACATGTGTAATGTAATTCATATATTCAGAAACCATTTAGAAAACCCCCAAACCTTCTGTGCATTATCTAAGCTAATCACAGTCTTTCTCTCTCAGGGGGGGATATAGATCCTTCATGTTGTATCCTAGTATTGTTATAAACAAAACTCTTTAAAATGTCTTTTTCTCTTCTTTCTTTTTATTTTAATGGGAAACCTACTCATATATTCTGCCACATGAAAGTAGATTTGCCTTCATTTGTGGCCATGCTGATTACAAAGCCTTGGAGATCTTTAATTAAATCGCTTGGGTTTTGTGTATTTCTTTCAAAGAAAACCGTCAAAATAGCATTTGTGACTCATTACAATTATAACAGCAATGCTATCATCTTTGCCTTCTTATATTACTTATTTTGATCAAAAACGCTGCATGCCACACATACCTTTAACAGCTCATGACGTACCTTTAACAGCTTCCCTCCTGTACTGGGAAGAGGATGCTTCCCAGCAGTGCTGAGGTATGGCTGGCCTTGGCATCTGTCAAGAGGACCCAAACACATCTCTAGCTGGTTTATTGCTCTGCTGAAAGCCACAAAGCCAAGACATTTTACACATATTCAAAACCAGAGCCCACAAGTGACTGGAATATGCACAAGATTCATTCATGACATCTCTGTGTAGCTCGGATGCCTTTGAATCTGTTGCATGTTGCAGTCAGCACACTTGTACTGTCCTCTCTTGCTCAAAATTGTTCTTCAGAGGTTTTCTCTCTTGCCCTTTCTCCTTAAGTGCAACAGAGAGCCCTGGCAAAGTAATTCAGTGCCTGCATCGCCTCCTCTGGCCCTGCCACCAGGTGAAATAAACAACCATATTGACTACAGAGGCCCTGTTCTGCTGGAGACAGTTGTACATGGTCACATACGTTAAATGGGCTGAGTGATTTGATCTCTTTTTTTACCTTCTCCATTATGTCAGTACATGCAATTTCTTTTGATGAGGGATAATGCTCATTCACTGCTATAAGAATGCATCAGATAACTGATGCCACAACAGTGCCATAGCAATGCCATAACATTAGAGCTACAAGCTTTCTGGGGAGATTGAACCCACCAAAACTAGCCATGCCCTCTGACACGGGACTGTACTACTGTGAGGAGACATCCAGCCTCCTGTGGCAAACAACTCTTCTTAAAGACAGAAATGCAAGACAGGTTTTTAGGGGCACTATGATGGGGATACGAAAAGGGTTACCTCCCACCTGTGATAATCTGGGACACTTTGGGGGTTATGTGTTAAGGGCAAGCATACCCTGAGTTATTCACCTTAAGATGGGACCATGATATTCCTCTGCTGCTGTTCCTAATGCAGTTACACAGAGGTCCCTTCCCTTTAGCATGTGGTTCAGGGTAGGTCTGGCTGCAAACTGGATGGGACCATGAAGACTTTAGGAGAGGACCATGGATGGAGTTGTGACTCCCCAGCTGATCTCACAAGATCCCACCTGTGGCAGAAATCACAGAGGGGCTATGCAGGTTTAATTTATCAAAGCTTGAGGATACCCTAAAACCACATTGCTGATTTGCCCGTGGTCCTTACAGGGTTTCTCTTCTGTGGTGGCCTCCAATGTCACCCTTCACACAATCGTGTCTGAGTGCTGGGGAGGAGTGACACATCCCTTTTCCTACTGCTGCTTCCACTTACCGAGGATGGGACAAAGCAGTCCTGTCACCAATGCTGTCGCACTGATGATGATTGCCACTGGCACGTGTTTCCTTGTGTTTGGTTTCCGATACTCTGGGACATCCCTGTTGCTTGGCAAGTGGCATGTGGGTATAATCAGTCTCAGGCAATTTATTTTTACTACCCTGTGTAAATACAGTGCTGAAATTGTCACTGTGATTTAGGAGGTGCCAGATTTTTCTGTTAATTATTTTTTCCCCCGTTTTTTTTCTTTTCCTTCTTGTCACCTTCCAGTCCATCTCTGGAATGACACTTCATGGGCAGCTTTCACTGAAAATTTCCCCAGTGATGGGACATGTTGTTGAAGTCTGATCTCTGTCTCTCCAGGCTTCCCTTGATACCTGGAAGCTGTAAGAGGCAGAGGACAAAAATTACCCTTCTCTTTCACCCAGCAACCATTTTGTGTGCTGAAAATAGAAGCATCATCTTAAATGAGCCACTCAGAGAGACATAATCACCCAAATACAGACGAAATCACTTAAAGATTTTGAAACCGGCAACCTCATATATTTTAATTATAGACTGCAGTGATATTCTGCTGAAAGCAATTATGTTGTAGCTCTTCCCACACACACAGGCAGTCCCAGTTGTGCTCCACAAAGACAAGCAGTTAAGCATGTAAGACATCATGTACGTTTTCGGGGCTTTTTAATCCATTTTTGAACAGTGCTTTGAAATAAAGCACGAGATTCTCTCTTCTGGACACAGCCTTGTTGCATACACACAGGGTACCTTTAGGTAGGCAAATGTAGGAACGCTGATTGCAGCAGCAGAAACGTGTATCTGCTGCAAGAACAACTTCTCCCCCCACTTTTTGAATGGCCTCTTGTTTTTGCTATGGAAATGGCCGTCCTTGCTTCGTCAGTACTTTTTAAACTTGCCATGGCCAGAAAAGATGCTTCTGTTTAAAATCAGAGAAACGATCCACTAAAAAGCTCCAAATGAAAGATATCTATTTCACCAGGTTGGACTGGCCAACAAGCGTGGCTTGCTGAAATGTGGTTGAGACACTCAGATACAGTTCATGCTACTGATACCCCTTGCTCTCCCCTTCAAAATTAGCCAGATGAATGGGGCCTTTTGTAGTGAGGAAAGAAATGGGCAGAAATCACAATAATCCCTTTCTAGCCAGGCTTCGGTAGCATGGCGTGAGTCAACATCTCTGCCTGGTGCTGGAGAAGACGGAAAACAGCAATTTCTCAGCGGTTTCCTTGGCATGTTGGAAACTGAAGGCGATCTTCTCGCACGCAGATCATTGCACCTCAGGCTGGTCGCTCCCATTGACTCTGTTCCAGCCATTCAAGCACCGTGGGGCTGCGGACTGTGAATCACATCCTTCAAAGACCAGCACCATGGCCAAGCATATTTGTCCTGACCCAGTGCCTTGGTACCCCTCAGGTGATGGGATGTGGCAAAGCATCTTCTGGCTTTGGAGAATGGTGGCTTTTGACTTTTCTGTGCACACTTCACAGACCAAAGCCTTTGCTCTCGATGAGAAGTTATACTGCTTTCCTGTTATTCTAAAACTAAGTACTTTGCACATTTGGCAAGTATTATTAAGTAATAGTCTGAGTGATGGTCTGTGGTTGGAGTTAATTTCTTCCAGTTCTCAAAGTGTCTAATTACACCTTCTTCAATGCTAACTGTACAGATTGTTTCAAATGTGCAAAAAACCCTCTTGTTTAAGTTAAAAAAAAAAAAAAAGAAAGAAAGAAAAGTCTTGATTCATCCCTCTGGATTGAAGGTATGAGACTAGAGGCATAACCCAAATGTCTTCTGACTTCAGCACTGTTCATAGTTCTGTACTTCTTATTCCAAGAACACTTGAAAGGGTAAAAACCAATAGGACAGATACTATCTGGTGTAATCATCCCATTTATACAGTTCCAGTACTGACCAGCTTAAACCTAGGTCTGTCTTTAGCTTAGACCCATGTCAACTGAAGACACAGTTAGGCAAATGTAGCTAACCTCATATTAGGAACTTGTGCCCCACTTCACTAGCAATTCCCACGGTGGGAACGCCATGAACAGCTGCCTGGTCCTAGTCCAAGGCAATGCATAGTGAAATGGGGCACTGGAAAGAGCTTTGGGATGATGTGTTTCACCCCAGAGCTAGAACAGGGTACTGGGTAGATCCATACATGGGATCCATGGCATGTTGGCTGAAAAAAAAAGAGTGGTAAGCCACTATAGTTTGGTTGCAATTACAGATCATTTGAGACTTCCTTTAATGATTGATGGGAGAGCAACACAGCTTTTGCATGGAGACATCTCTTAGAAGAGGAAGCTCTATTTGGAGACACATTTCTATCTCTTTGCTATGGCCAGTAGAGCAAAACAAACCTATCTTGCAGCTGATTTTTCTGATTACAGTGTCAAATATTTAGGTGGGTAACAGGAGAGAGACTAGAGGGGCAGAGCCACCAGTCGGATTGTGGGAAGAGCGAGAGGTGCACATCACCCTTCAGTGCCCAAGAGACATGCTCTGGCAAGGTACCAATGGCTCGGTTGTGCTTACAACCTCTGCTCACCATTACATACCAGCCTCAGTTCAGGCTGATCACAAGTTGTTTGCTGGCCCTCGACTTCAATGTTTAATATAAGGGTCTCATGGTTATCAGATCTTTTTCCCTCTTGTCAGACTATGGAGGACAAAAATAACATGTAGAATGGGAAGTATGGATAAGATGGCCATCTTTCTCATGACAATGTATGGGGCTTTGGGTGGTTTTGTGCAATAGCCTGGGTTGAGGCTGCTCAGCTCATTCAGTCACTGTGATCACTGACTTCTCCAAGGAATGGACATGTCCGATTGGAATGGTGGCCTACAGGACTAAATGTGGTATCCTTTGAGATCGAGCTAGCCCACGTTGTGATTTATTTTTCTTTCCTGGGGTTTGTGACTGAATCAGACAGGAGAGAGGAAGTGAAGGTTTGTTCTTTCTAAAGATTTATTTTGTTACATCTGCAACAAGTCAAGAAGAGAACAGGGTGGAAAGGCTTTTGGTTTTGGGCCTGGAACAAAGCTCAGTACTTGAGATAAACAAATGGGGGGAAAGGAATTATCAAAGAGCGAGCTGGCCACAGACTTTGTTATGAGCTTTACTGTAACAAGCTGAGAAACTTTGGTAACTTAAACCAAACTGAAAGAGGACCAGACTTGCAGGGTAAAAGGAAAAGCAGATGATTGAGGTACTTTGAGGAAGTGAAAGTTCGGTCTGTCTGCCTGCCTATCCATCTATCCTACATTGCTCTAAGATGTGGAGATACTTGATGTGGAAAATACCCAAGCTTTGGTTTAGAGGACCCAGAGGATTTCTCAGGTGTGTGAGTTGCACTGCCATTGACTTTGACAATCATGGACAAGCTCTATTGACTCATCCATCTAACAAATTAGTGATAACCTAACAAGCACCAAGACACTTGAATGCAAGACAAAATGTAGGTCCTAATGCCACCCGGCATTGCGTTCATGTGTGATGTGCGATTATACTCATAGCCAGAATCTACATCCACACTCAAGACTTCTTTCTGAGTTGGCTGCAAAATTTTCAAGTATAATATTCAAAATAATCTTCAACAAATGGTGCGGAGCAATAACACCTGGTCCAAGTTTCCACTTTGGTAAGCAGGTGTTAGTAATTCCTACCTAGTGCTCAGGCCAGTGAAGGAGCTGAATTACCCCATGTATGTCAGCAGAGATGGTGAAAAATAAAAGAGAGATACAGTGTTTGTTAAATGAATAGAATTTATTTTTCTGTGGGGAAAAACAGATGGGGAGAAATTATGAAACCATCATTTCCACAGTGTTAAATTAGCAACAGCAAAAAGCACTCAAAAGAATAAACTGCATGTTAAGTAAATTTAAAAGAATTACTGTAAAATAAATGCCAGCTTGCTTTTCTAGTGTTTGCAAATCCCCATTCACCAAAATCCTTTATAGCATCTCCTAAAAAGCTTAGAGGAGCGTGGCAGTGGAAGCTACCTTCCACATATCCTTAGGTCCGCGGTGTCTCTCGTAGGAATGATCCTTAGGACAGCAGTGTCTCCCGTATGAAAGCCATGTTTTGGACTCTCCAAGGGAGAGATAACCCCTCCAGAAGGCAGCTCACCCCACCCCAGGTCTGACAACATTTACCAGTTACCTGTGCTGAGTGCTCTTTATCTCACTGATACCCTATCAGCCCTGTTCAGGCTGGTGAGATAGCAAAGTGGCACAATTAGCAGCAATTAGCCTAGGGAGAAACTGTTATGTGGTGGCTCCCAGGATGAAGCAAGTCCATGTCTCTGTGCCTCTAGAGATGCTAGTGGGGTTGTGCAGCCAGTGGCCTGGTAGCCAGGATGGGGTCTGTGCTGCTGGTTCCCTTGTATTGTTGTGTGTGATGGGGCTGGGTTTAGGGGCAGACCCCCCCCCCCAGGCAAATTGGTGAATGGTGGGAGGGTGTTTTAGAGGCCACCCCATGGCATTGTAAAGCCACTGGGTCTTATGAAAACTAGGCAGGCTGATCTTGCACGTGATGGTCCCTGACCATCAAGCACCTTGGTAGGACCTCCTGCTCCTCACTGAGATGCCCGCAATGAGGAAATCTCAGTCTGGCGTGAAACTGGGAGAACTGGAAAATATGAGTTGTCCTAATACAGTGATAATGGTGTGTTTCTAAAGCAACAGAGCCCTTGAGATGACCCAGTCATATGATGACCCCTATACATCCTATAGGACAATAGGGGAAAACCTCAGTTAAGGTGAAGTTTGGGTTATTTTATGCCCACACAGGCTTATTTGCATGGCAGCCTATCTCAGTTACCTAGGGCTGTGGAGGGTTGCCACAATTACTTGCTCCAGAAGCTGGTTTTGCCTACGCTTTCTAGGCACTCACCGCTGAGATGAGGATTGTCCTGTCTCCAACCCATAGCTCAGTCCCACAGCATGGTAGGGGATGTTCTCCCTGCTCCTGCACGCACACTGCTCATGCATGGTTAAGGGCCCTGTGCATGACATCTCTGAATTAGCAGCTGGCTGTGACAGTCATTGGTGTTGCTGGCCAGAAACCTGTAAAGCAGAAGGGAAAATTATTTTGGTGGCAGAACTACAAATACTCAATAAAGCACAGCTTGTTTTGGTGCTTTTTTATGTGGTTCTGTGCTGACTTTTTCTCCCCTAATTCACAACAGAAGTGAAGCAGAGTGTAGTAGAGGTTGCGCATAAATCCTTTGTGCTTGGTTAATGGGAACAATTACAGAAGTTTCTTCTTCTTCTTTTGCCAAGCTGTGATATGAAATCATTTGTCGGGTTCCTGTTTCCATGGAAACAATTAGTTTCATACCATTTTTGTATTACATATCAATGAAGTGATTAATTAAATGAAGGCAAACACTTCATAAATGTATTGTCTCACGCAATAATCAAGTAGCTACCAAGTACCACAGCTAAATGCACTTAAAATGCAGTAAAACCAGCTCTGCAAAAGACTTAACAACTGTGTGAATATTTACTGGTCTGATAGGGTACATCATTTATAAGCCAAAAATACCAAATGTGGGTGTTTAGGTGTTGCAAGTGCTTACTGGCTTTGGAGTAAAGCATCGTTTTCTCAAAGGATCTGGTCACCTTGAGCCATCTCCAGGAAAGGGCTTAGAGACCTGTTGTGTGATGCAGATGGGCTTCAGCCACCAATGATGCCAAGACCTGCCCATCAGCCATCGGTCCATCTTGCAGGCAAAGGCAAGCCAAAGGTGAATGACTTGCAGGACCTCCTAGCCCTGTGGTTAGTGTGCTCACAGGGATGTGATGGGTCCCCGGCCCTTCTCCAAGGACTCTCTACATATTTTCTCCTTAAAACAAAATATACAAAGAGTCCACCCAGCACGGAGTGGAATTCAGGGCTCTGCCTGTTCCCTCCCAAGCACATCTGGGAGCCTTTCCCTTGCAGAGCTGAGCAGCTGCATGGCAAGGGAGGGAGGAAGGGAGGGAAAGAGGGAGAAAAGGAAGGAGATTCCTATGCTCTGCCACAGAGGAGAGCAAGGGCTGAAATGGGAACTGAATTCAGGGACACTTCGGTGGGTAGCTCAGCCCCGAGTGTCTTCAGCAGGATGGGAATGGGATCACAGAGAAGCATAGCCTCAGTTGGATGATGGGCAGCGCTGACTTCCCTCAATTCAGGCTTAGCAAAGTGGTTCTGAAAATGAGACACTTGCTTAAAAGGCTCAGTAGGAATTGGAGGAACTTATTTTAATGAGTAGTTAGGGAAAAAATCACCGTGCAACTCTCTGTATTGGACCCTGAATCTTTATTTCACTGGGCAACAGAGTCTTTGTTGAGGCTAGCCCTTAGGGAATTGTGTTTTCCCCTTCATTCAAGAAGAATTTATACACCAGTGGTCATGCAAATATAATTACCTGATTTCAGTTTAGCAACTTAAAACAATCAGAATTTTACTTGGAAAATTCATTTTTCCCCCCTTTCCTTCTCTTTAATAAAACACGTCCTGGGAAAGTGGTTTGATGAGCATAGAAAAAGTCTTTGACGGACAATCAGTCCACATTCAGTGACCCCTTACATAGCTAGTTCTTGGATGAAGCCAGTTAGTTGAGTTTTTCAGACAAATATAGCAGAAATTTCACAGAGAAACTTGACATGAAATCATTTTTTAACCTGATCCCAAAGGGCAAAGTCTCCATGCAGGGGGTGGGGTTGTTCATCAATGTGTACAAAATGGATCCAGCTGTCCAGTGCAATGGTATTTTCTGTAATCCTTTCTGCTGACAAGCCAGCAGGTGGTGGATCGCCAACACATGACACAACAAGAAATGTTCCATGATGGATGAAACAAATGCACAGAGCTGCATCTCCATCCGTTTGAGGCTGACACCCATCTACTACCATCTGACAGAGCTGTTTCTCTCTTTCTGCTATGACTGTCATCACCCCCTCTATGGCTTTTCTGCTTATTTATACTTCCCTTTGCTTGTACCACAGTATCGCAGATGCAGCTTATGCTAGAAGCATCCTCATCACCCTACAAAGGAACTGAGGATAAGATGATGCTTAGAAGGGCCGTCTGCCTTACCTGATACTTCCTTGGTCCACTTGGACCAAGTTGCATGACCAAGGACCAAGGGTACACTAAGGGCCACCCTCATCCAGATGACTTTGAAGCTGGGACTGTGTCTGTGCCTGATGCATGTTTGCATGTTAACAGCACAGATGGGTGGCCAATCTGGAGAGGGGAGCAAGCTTAAGTCTGCATTTAACAGTCAGTGTAAACATCTCCCCTGAAATCTCTTTGCAGAGCCAGCCTCAAATGTCTCTCAGCTATTCCCCACTCCCCTTTTACCACCCAACCTCCTGACCTTGCAAAAATGTGTCTCTGAAGGGTCAGAGCTTGGGTCTGGAGCAGATGCTGATGCCTGGGATCAGGGGTGGGCGGCCCAAGGGCTGGAACATTCCTTCACAGGGTCTCTGGTTGAGATAAGGCTGTGATTTACTCCAAGAAAGTGGGGTTTGAGTGAGTCCTGCATGTTCCCTGGGAGGTGAGGCAGGAAAAAAATCCTGTGGAATAAAAACCTTTCAATCTTCCAGTAATGGTTTGCTTTAGAGAAACATCTAATTCTGTGCAGCTAAAAGCACCACAGTGATCTGGATCACAAGCCATTGCTCACAACCTCCAAGACCAAACGCACTGCAAAGTACCAGGGACTCAGCTCAAAGGTGAGACAAAGAGCAGCAACGCTTCCAAGTAAGAAGAATCCATGTGAGATGCTTAAATTTTGGGGCTTGGGGAGGATCAGAGCTTCAAAAACCTGTTGATCTTCCCTTACCAAGGTGGGCCTACATCAACCTAAACCCAGCAAGTCCAAGCGCAGCTGCTTTGGGTCAGCAGGGAGGAAAGCTGTGAATGCTAAAACTGAATTGTGGACTCTATCCACAAATACCTTCTCAAAGAGTGATTATCAGTGTCCTTTCTCTCCTAAAACTGCTCTGTCACAGAGTCTAGAGAACAGACACACAACGAATCAGCAGCAGGTTCTCTCTTTTGCTGGAGAGGTTTGCCCCTGCAATTGCCCTTGTGCAATGTGGTTGTTTCTAGGTTCAAACAACAGGCAAAGTGAGGTTTTAGGGTTGCAGTTCTAGGTTGGAATGCTTTCTATCCCATCTTTTTTTGCCATTTATTTTAATCTCAAAACTATAGTACCTACAGTATTTGAAAATTCATAATACATCCACAAAACAACTGGCACACAATGAGGGTATGAGTACCCAACCCAGGGGCCCAGCAGTATGGAAACATAATGATGACTGCAGGGAGAATTTCTTCACCTCCTCTTGGTGTGAGGATGGTGTGTATGTCCCCACCAGCCCATCCTGCCATTTTCTTCACCTAATCCCTCACATTCCCACTGATTCAGCCAGCCATGGGTCTGGGAAAAGCGGAGAGCCAGCCACACTGGTATGCAGATAGGGCGGTCTTCATGGAGGAACACGTGCAGTAAGATTCTTCCAACTCCATAACACATCCCCATGGAGTGAAAATATATACCAAAGGCTCATAGCTAATCAAAACTGAAGATACTGAGGTATAAGCATGGGTGGCATAACTGTCAGGAAAGCTTTTGACTGTGCACAGTATGGCCACAAGATAAGCATCACATGCATTTGTAGGAACCCTTGAGCTAAAACCAATGCCACAGTTAATGCTTTGCCTATGATCTCTCTACACCTGCAGTTCTGGTCCCTGGATCACACATTCTAGATGCCACCAGCCCCACTGAAAAGCTGAAGAAACTAACCAGCCACTTTACCACATGCAACTGGTTCTTCCTTGTATCTTGCTGCGCTGAAGCCAGCCAATGGCTCGAGATCCTTGCCCAGGAAATACATTTCCAGCACTGGTGGGTAATTGTTGAGAAATACATTCAAGGAGGGAGAAGTTCAGATTAGTCTGAGTTATGACTCCGCATCTAAGGTCACACTGAGAATGTGACATGAAACCCAGGACTGAATTCTTTTAATGTATAAAAAACATTCATCAAGCACAACAGATGACTTTGGAATTTGAGCACACTCTTCTATTTTTTTCCCCATATATTTTATTACGCAATTTCTTCCCCCTAGAAGAAATACCAAGTTCTTTTCTTATTTTTTTTTAAACAAACCAAAAGGGGTAGTACTAATAATCTGGTACACAGCCTGTGACAGTTTCTTTTGCTGCTTCAGCACAGGCTGACAAATGGCCTTAACCCTATCTGAGGGAGGGCATTGAAATGAAACAGGTAACAAATAGAAAACATACAGTTTATGCAACAGCATGTAACTAAGAAATCTTCCCTTGGAAAACAATAGAGCCATTGTATTCCCCATCTGAGCCGTCGGGAAACTCCACTAGTCCAGGGCTGTAATGAATTAAAGGCTTTTCGGCAGCAGATACGATTGCTATTCGTTGCTAAGAAAAGCACGTTGTCTGGTTGTCTGCAGCATGCTAAATGCATATGTTTGTGTTCCCAGCAAAGTCAAAACTTGCAAAATAGTGGAGGGGAAGGTGATTACCAGACTTGCGTGACTCAGCCCTGCTGCTTTCTCCCATTTGGTAGGATATTGTTTCTCAATAACATGGTAGCAGGAATGCTTACAGCCAAAACGGCTGTTGCTTTGATAACAGAGCTTGACAACCTGGTTGGATGGACACAAGTGCACCGGCAGCTTCTCTGCTACCTGGACTATCAATATTCATGGTTGTTAGACTCTGTCTTTGGAGGGTTTCAAGGATCAGCTAAACAAAGCCATGACTGACACAGTCTGTGGCTGGTGATGGACTTAACTGGAGCAAACGGTTGGGCTGGAGCCCTCTGAGGTCTCTCAATCACGTAGATACCTGTTAAAGCAGTGGCACCAGGACAGTAGTTTGCAGGGTGGGTTATCAAGGCAACAGAGCTGGCTTTGAGCAAGGTATTAACTCTTCCTTTGACTGTATTTCCAGCAGTAGTCTGTCAGTCTGATCTGTATTGGATGCATGCTACTCATTTGGTTGGAAGGGCAGAAGTGGCTCCCTGGCAGTAGGTATGGAGCATTGGCAATGGGGTCTGCAGTGGAAAGCTATAGCTATCTGACACCAGAAATGGTTAAGACTGATCTGTTAGCACTTCTGATATGCCTGTAGCAGCAATTAGGGCTTAATGCAAGGCAGAATAGATCAAATCCCAATGGTGGAAATTAGGAAATGAAATGCCAAGAACAATAACTAGAACAATGTCATGAATTTCCTCCACAACAGCACGGGGGGGAGTGTGACAACGAATATTTTGATGGGCCTGAATAGTTCAGAAAGTTAGTTTCACTTAGGAAATTCCAACTATACATGCTTGATGCTTGTGTTTTGTTTTTAAATGTCAGCAATGGTTTGAATTTCTATCGGGGGCATGAATTACTGGAGTAGATCCTGGGCTCCCGTCTTGCTGCTCCATAGGCTCCAAACCAGTAAGCAGCTTCAAAGAGCTGGGAAAAGGCTTTCTTCTGAATCTCCTTTCCCAGAGCACACACATACCATGTGTCATGTTGAAACTGGATGCACCTGCTAAAGGAGCTGTGTGGGGGCAGACATTATACACCAGTTATAAATCCTTAGGCTATCAACAGCCTTCAGTAAACATTTGGACAATCCTTCCTACCTCTTGGTCATCCAAATATTTGCATCACACGGGGCTGCTAGCCGTTTCCTGACATGCTGAGTCTCTAAGAATATCCTTGGATTGTAGGTCGGTTCCAGCGCAATGTGATGGATGGTCTTATTGGGCGAAATAAATGGCTTGGGAGAAAGGAAATAAAGAAAATCTATCTGTCTCCTGATAATAAATCCAGGTCAGGATGGAGTGAAACAGCTTGCAGTCATGAATGGTGTTTTTAGAGAGCTTTTAGGATCTGATCCGAAGCACCTAAGGGTTAATGATGAACATCCCTGAACTCAATTAGTGGATATACTTCCCTTGGTGACTCTGGCAGCTTTGGACCAGGCGCTAGGAGAAATGGTTGAAGATGCTCCTGAAAGCTCTTCCTTCCTGCTGTGCTGAGCACAGGGTTGGAAACAGCCTGAGCCAACTTTGGATGTAAAATAGGAGCCTGCTGCACTGAAGCTGGGTTTGGCAGCTCTTCCCTCCAGAGCAGAGCATCTCCAAGGCGAACTGCAGGAGACCGCTGCAATACACAGGGCTTGTAATCTGTGTGCATGAACCATTTAACACAGCAGAGTTGCCAAACAGAAATAAAACACTTATTTTTCTCTTCATGCAGATAGAGGAAAGCAGCCTGGACTCTGCTTTAGCAGTTAATAGGGTTTAGTGGTTAATTGGTTTTGGCAGTCTTAAACACAAAATCCGTGTTTCATGATTAAGACTACTGTGCTAAGTAACAACGTTAGAAAGATGAAGCCTTGCAACACAATAATTTTAGTCTTTTACTCAATACAGGCTGTTGCTTTATGGCTAAATATACACTATAATAAGACAGTGAATTTTCTGGTAACATAGTAAAGGAAATAATCAACCCTCAGCTTAACTGCAGGATGAAACCTCTTAGGGTGTAATGTGGATGTTCCACTGTAGCTTCAGTTCGGACCTTTTGCTTTAATCTTCTCTCCCCTCTCAATAAACCCACCAAATCCATGACAAATAAAAGCAACATGACTCGCTATTACGTGGTAACTGAGGCAGAGGGTGCCTAAATGTTTTTTAACTGTGATGGCAGGCTAAGTTCACACAGAGAGTTTGCTCACCCCCAGGTAATTCCTCTTTGCCACCCCTCAGTTCCCCCAGCATCTCCTCTTCCCCCCATCCCGCTCATCACTTCCTTTTGGGAAGCCCAAAACTCCGACCCCTCTTTGGACAGACTAAACAACATCTGCAAAGTCGCCTCTCTCCCCTCCAGCCCTCCCAGGGGAAAAGAGCCGGTCCCAGATGGACAGGAGAAAGCCAGTGTCACCGGGGAGGGTGAGCAGGGCTCCTGGGGGGTGCCGGGGAGCAGGGATGTGGCGGAAGCATAAAGCACCTGTTGGGAGGCTATTTAGGGATTAGCCAAGTGCTGACAGACAAATTGGCAAGATTAATAAGAGCAATCAAGGCTGTGTGGGCTCGAGTTGTGAGCTGACATTAATGTGACATCACTTTCATCTGCTTTTGCCTCACACCGCATAGCTGGTCTGCAGCATCATTAGTGCTTCTAGGGAGCAGCACGGTCAGATGCGGGGTTACAGGAGGGAGGGAGCTATGAGTACGGGTACATGTGTGTGCACACACGTGTGTGTGTGTGTGTCAGGGCAGGGGACAGCCCGTTGTGCCTGTCCTTTAGCCGGTCCCCGCATAGGGGCTGCCCATAGTGACCGGCACTAGACCTCTCTCCACTACAGGGCAGGTATCAACAAGGGGATGGGTGTTTGGGGGACCCTGGGACCTCCCAGCCTCAGCACTTCCACAGGGCCTACCTGGCCCTAACAGCAAGGAATGATTTTGGTGATGTTCTCTCTAAAACTGTCTGCTT